TTACCCATCTAGTTCTTCCATTCTCTTTTCTCTTCTCTGTCCTGTGCCCTGGAAGTCCTGGTATATAAAGGGAGGGTCCGAGCTAAATTGTGTAAAGCTATTACTTAATGTCCACTTCTCCTAGGCAGTGTCTCCTTGTGGAATTTACCTTAAGTCAGGAGACTTGCACATGGGCTGTTATCATTGTTAGTCCGCGGAAGCTGGGCACCCCCCTGGGTGGTGTTTCCTGTAGTCCTTGAAAGTGGCTAAGGGAGATATCTGATTCCAGAGAAAGCCTTTCCCGAGGCTGTTCTCCAAATACCTGGAATATGTATGTCCAGAGAGTGATCAGTTCACACTGTTAGCCCTTCTTAGGGAAACATCAATTGGGAAAACTATGAAGGCACACATGATTTTCATAACAGAATACAGCTGATATATAACAAGCCAAGTAATACCAAAAACTCCTTGGGATTTGGCTTCCTCTGGAGGAATTCCTTAATCCCTCCAGGTAGTGACTTTGCCATAACCAGCTGAGTTCTAATGATATATTCCTGCGGCCCGCAGCAAGGCAGGAGCTGATGCAGACACTATGGAGGAGCTGCTTATTGGCTTTGTCCCCATGGTTCGCTCAGCCTGCTTTCTTATAGAACCCAGGACCAAGAGCTCAGGGGTGGCCTCACCCACAATGCACTGGGCCCACTCACATCAATCACTAATTAAAATTCTCTGCAGGTTTGCATGTGGCCTGATCTTCTGGACACGTTGTTCTTAGTTGAGGTTCCCTTCTCTGATGTTCTAGCCTGTGCCAAGTTGATTAGCATAGTCGCTGAGCCCTCATGCATGCCTAGGCTGCAGGCTTTGGGTACTCTCCACCAAGACGGGTAGCAGAGAGGCCATCTCAGTGCAGATCTCTACATGGGTTGTACCCTAGAGCCTCTGGCCCTGAGTTTGTTCCGTACTGGCCTTGGCTGGACCCCACCCACCTGCCAGCCCCTGTTGATGGGCCCTTTGTCAGGCTTCAGGGGTACGAACCTATCAGGCCCCATAACGCTCCTCTTTCCTCTTCACGTGAAGCTCTGCTGTGCTTCCAAGAGGAAGGGTCATTCACAAGAAGCAGAACAGCAGGGAATCTGTGTCCCCGCTGAGGCTCAGTGTCCTGAGTGTGCATCCCTGAGTGTGCATCCTGCTGTGTCCTCACTGTTGACTCAGTGTCCTGAGTGTGCATCCCTGAGTGTGCATCCTGCTGTGTCCTCACTATTGACTCAGTGTCCTGAGTGTGCATCCCGCTGTGTCCTCACTACTGACTCAGTGCCCTGAGTGTGCATCCTGCTGTGTCTTTACTACTGACTCAGTGCCCTGAGTGTGCATCCTGCTGTGTCCTCACTACTGACTCAGTGTCCTGAGTGTGCATCCTGCTGTGTCCTCACTATTGACTCAGTGTCCTGAGTGTGCATCCTGCTATGTCCTCACTGTTGACTCAGTGTCCTGAGTGTGCATCCCTGAGTGTGCATCCTGCTGTGTCCTCACTACTGACTCAGTGCCCTGAGTGTGCATCCTGCTGTGTCCTCACTGTTGACTCAGTGTCCTGAGTGTGCATCCCGCTGTGTCCTCACTATTGACTCAGTGTCCTGAGTGTGCATCCCTGAGTGTGCATCCTGCTGTGTTCTCACTGTTGACTCAGTGTCCTGAGTGTGTATCCTGCTGTGTCCTCACTATTGACTCAGTGCCTTGAGTGTGCATCCCGCTGTGTCCTCACTATTGACTCAGTGTCCTGAGTGTGCATCCTGCTGTGTCCTCACTGTTGACTCAGTGTCTTGAGTGTGCATCCCGCTGTGTCCTCACTATTGACTCAGTGTCCTGAGTGTGCATCCCTGAGTGTGCATCCTGCTGTGTCCTCACTACTGACTCAGTGTCCTGAGTGTGCATCCTGCTGTGTCCTCACTGTTGACTCAGTGTCCTGAGTGTGCATCCTGCTGTGTCCTCACTATTGACTCAGTGTCCTGAGTGTGCATCCCTGAGTGTGCATCCTGCTGTGTCCTCACTATTGACTCAGTGTCCTGAGTGTGCATCCTGCTGTGTCCTCACTATTGACTCAGTGCCTTGAGTGTGCATCCTGCTGTGTCCTCACTATTGACTCAGTGTCCTGAGTGTGCATCCTACTGTGTCCTCACTATTGACTCAGTGCCTTGAGTGTGCATCCCGCTGTGTCCTCACTATTGACTCAGTGTCCTGAGTGTGCATCCCGCTGTGTCCTCACTATTGACTCAGTTCCCTCAGTGGAATCTGATATGTTATTTATGGAGGTTTTCCTGCTTCTGACTGAGGACAAGACACAGGTGGAGCCGAGCAGCTAGCTGGCCATGGTCACTTCCTTCTCTGTGACAGTTGTGTGTGACACTGTTTCTGGGGCACACTGAGAACTCAGTCTGGATGGAGAAATACCAGTTAGCAAGCACCACACATCACAGCGGGCTCAGCTATAGCGTGTCGGGGAAGGCGACCTTGGGAGTCCACGGCTTGACTTTACTCTGAAGATACAGACGGGGCCTGGCTGCCGTTTCTCTGGTTCTGTGGCTGCTGGCAGCTGTCGGATCAGCACCAGAGCTGCGAGATTCCATTATCTGATATGGAGCGGGCCCTGCCTGTCATTAAGATTCATTTAACCATTTTATAAAACTGAATGTCAAGGCCTTTGCTGGCTTGTGTGACTCTGGCTGACCCAGGGGAATCTGCCTGCAGTTGAAGGGTAAGCCAGGGCTACCGGGCCACAGGGCCACAGGACCACAGAGCCACAGAAAGGCCTGCAGGTAGCCATAGAACTTTCCCCACTGTCTACCTAGAGGCAGGGTCCACATGCATGGAAGGTTCCCAGTAGGCGAGACCTCTGGTGTCTTGAGACCAGGTCAAGGGAATCTCTGGGTCCCACGAAGCAGCTCAGATATGGCTTCCTGCACTGGGGACTCAAAGTGAGTGTCGGGGTTGGAGTAAACTACCCTGCAAGTGTGGTCCCGACATTTGCCAGCTCAGAACAATCTGTGTGTGTTGTCTAGTTTCAGAGTGTCCGACGTCTGCTACTTTCCCACCTGTCTCCAACTCAGGTTCTCTTAGGACTGCATTAAGCTGGTCCCGGGGAATGCAGCCCCTTCACAGAGCCATGGAGCTGGGGGACCCGTGTTCAAGTTCACTCCTGTGTCTACCTGTCTCTCTTAGGCACCTGGGACTCAGCTTTGGATTATGGGGATGTTCTCACAAGATGGCAGCTGAGTTATCCACGAGCCAGGCAAAGAGGGAGAAGGGGGTGGGAGGAGAGAGAAGGAGAGGGAAGGTAGGAGAAAGTCAGATGCCCCCAGGAGCTGCGGAGCCTCCTGCCTTCTCTGAACACTGCCTCATCTACCACGGTGGGCCACATGGCCACACTCCCAGGGTGGCAAGGGCACTCACGGCATGTGAGCATTGTGGGGATCCCGGAAAACTTCTTGAGGGCTGACAGTAGGGATCCTGTCTAATGCCTTAGCTCATCTGCTCTTCTCTCTTTTGGATACAGGGTCTTGTGTGGCCTTGAACTTGTTATGTAGCTAAGAACAATCTTGAACTCCATTTTTACTCTTCCAAGTGTTGAGATCCCAGGAGTGAGTCATCATGCTCAGCCCCATGCTATATGGGCTTTACTTGATGTATTCAGGGCTCCCTATGCATCAGTTTCAGAGAGTAATGAATATTTCAAACATGGTTTGCTGAAGACACCACACACTTTGGTTTCTGGAGACAGAAAAAATAAACCTGGAACTGAGTTGAGAGCCTCTTCCTTGATGGCTAGCTTTTTATAGTGCCAGAATGCAGACTAGTAGGGGAGAAAAGTCATCAGTAGTCTTCCCTAGTTGTGGACATTGGATATTATACTAGCAACTTGCCAGGCAAGATGCGCCCACTGGTATAATAGTGGCATGACTGTTATGGGGATGACCAACCACTTTCTGATTGGATCTGAGCCTGGCTCCCCTGGAGGGGGAATTCATGTACTATAAACCTAGTCAAGAACCATGACTGGGAAGGGCAGAAGCCTTGGTTGGACCCTACTACTGCTACTTAGCTAATGGATATGCTGAGTGCCTCAAATTGCCTTCTAAGTATTTGTGATTATACCCACAATTCAGTGCTGCTCACAGCTTTGGTCAGAGGAGTTTCTTTTGCAGTGGGCATCATAATGGGCCAAAGTAGTGAGTAAGAGATTGTCATATGCTCATCTTTAAATGGGACCTCAATGTCATCCACTCCAAGGGACAGGAACATCATTTAAGATGGAGAGAAAGACTAGAAGAGCCAGAGGATGGGGGAGGAGTGCTGTGCAATGCTGTCCCCTAGATAGGGTATGTCTGTTACATGTAGGAACTTACAGCAGTTGTGGTTACCGGCACTAGACTGGGCCCATCAACGGTCTATCATGGATGTGGGAGGGGCTTATGAGGAGCTACTGATATTTCATGTGGCTGGAGGAGAAGGAACCAGTTTCTTCAGTGGTGGTGTCACGGGTAAGTTGCCCATAACCCTTCACCCATGGTCATGTCAGCACCCTAGTCAAATTCATCGGTTCGCCCTGCAGGAAGAAGAGGGCTGTTTGAGAAAAGGAAGGGGTCAGCAACAGTGGGAGAGGGCAAGAAAGGGCAGTGGGGTGAATATGACCAAAATGCATTATATATGCATATGAAGATGTCACAAGAGCCATTATTATGTATGATGCATGCTCATAATAAAAAGCAAACTCCACTCTGCATTCACAAAACAAAGCAGGCTGGGCATGGTGGTGCACACATTTAACCTCAGCATTTGGGAGCAGAGACAAGTGACTCTCTGAGTTCGAGGACAGCCTGGTGAGTTCCATAGTGAGTTCCAGGCCAGCCAGGGCTCAATAGTGCAACACCCTCCTCCCACTCCAAAGGAAAAAGAAAACAAAGACCATGTCTTGCAGCCTTGCACACTTTTCAACAGAGCCAATGGAGGAAAGTAAGGAAAGAACAACCTGAGTGGTAAAATAATGTTTTATTCCATGGATGACAAATGCTACCATGCCACATCCCCGCGGCCCTCCGACCTGTTCTTGCAGCCAGAGTTGGCTCCCCCTTTCAGACCTCCTGGGCTTTGCTGCCAGCCAAGCCTGTTGAAATAGTGAAAGCATGTTCTGTCTGTCAGCATGAGGTCCCTTCTCACCAGTGGTGATGCATCACCTATGGAAAACCCCAGGATGCAACTCTTCCAACAGACCTAACAAGAACCAATGCTCCAAGCTTGTGTGGACAGAACCAAAGCCCCCAAACATTTAAAAAAAAATCAACATGGACACATCTCTGAGGACAAGGTTTTAGGACACCCCAGCAGGAGTGGAAACTGGGGTGATTAGTACCGACATATAGGTTGTCAACAGTCCTGAAAGGAAATGATGGCAATTGATATATTTCAAACGAGCACTTCTGGAGAGGCCAGATCAGCCAGAGGTGTCTGCATGCAAGCTCAACACAAGGTTAGCGCCGTGGAGGGGGAGGGGACTGCACAAGGCCAGACACACACTTCTTGCTTTATATACAATGAAATGAAATATACACGGGAGACAGTGGCCACACATCTGGTCAGTGTGTATCTTACAAGGCTGCTGAGGTGGGGTGGGGCTCCCCGACAGCACTGTCAGCAGGAGGGAGGAGCCAGCCTTGGGGCTGGTGATGACCCGGTCAGGCTTACTCAGCAGACCTAAGAGTGGAACCAGTGTTCTGTCTTGTGATTTTTAACCAAATGTCACCTGAAAAGACCGGATGACTGATCAGGGTGGGGGTTGGGGGGAAGAGGAGTAGTTTTAAGGACACATGTGATGGATGGTGGATCCACAGGCAAGTCCTAGCGCCGCTTGGGGGAAAGAAGGTTTCACTGATGAACTTTTAGTGAGGGCTGCTGGGTGCTCTGTGTCCTTGGTGTCTGCAAAACCTCCACCAAGTCCAACAGAGACAGCAGGTGTTCCAGAATGATCTCTTGACCCAAACAAGTGCAACATGGAAAGCATAGCAAAGCAACAAAAAGGAGAGAAAGAATACTCAGAGTGAGACAGTCCGGGGGGGGGCAGAGACAGTGGGGTGTCCAGTTAAAACCATAGAAAAATACAAAGTAATTCTACAAGGTTAACCATGGGCAGAGCTATAGTCTTACTTTGTACATAAAAGACCTGTTTTCTGGGTGCAGAAAGGGACAGTGGGGGCTCTTTTAACCACAGAGAGGGGCCAGGCGCGTGTGAACACTGCGGAGACAACCATGCTGTCCTGTTCCCAGGGCACAGCTCTGTCAGACAGGAAGCCAGACAGGACTCACGGTTGAGAACATGAACGCAGTGCGTGAATGTTACAGAGAGAAAGCTTGAACTTAAGGGCCGGTTTTCTCGGGCTCAAAGTGTGCCCTCACTGTCATCTGTCCTTCACTTTGTCCCCTTGGGGGAGGGACATGGGATGTGCCAGTCATTGGGGGCCAGGAAGAGGCAATGCTGCTGAGGTGGGGTTGTTCCAGGCTATGTGGTGACTTGTTTCCACCTGGAGCTTGCTGCCCCCACCGAATGGCCTTCAGAATTGAGACACATGCTATGGAACGTCGACACCTCCACTTCCACCGCCCTTGGAGAGAGGGTGGCGGCGGGGAGGATTCTTCAGTTGCATATTGTTGTAGAAAGAGCCATGTCTGTGCTTAGGTCTCAAGCGTGGTTAGTCCTCCTCCTCCTCCTCTTTTGCTGTGGCTGTTGGTAGCTTGTCCTGGATCCTGAAACATTCCACGAAGAAGTTGATGATGGACCGGTACAGATGTTGCTTGAGAGCCACGCTGTGGAAGTAGTGGCTTTCATCTGGGTAGATCTGTGAAGAGAGAAGGAGGAGGTTACTCCTTGACAGTCCACCTGCTAAAGGGACTTCTGGAGGCACGCAGTGTGGGAAAAGCCAAGCTCCACACACTGAATTCATGAAGCAGGATGAATTTCCTAGCCACTGGAGTCCCAGCGTCAGGGTCCTTGCCTCTGGGGAGCTCTGTTTCTGTACCAGGCAGAGGGGTGCTTGCAGCCCTAGCAGGTCATGAAAACTTACCTGTCTCCCCAGAATCTCCTCCCTTGGCATCTTTCTTCCCCTCACCAAGGGCAGTGGCTACAGTAAGGATTGGGTAAAGTTGGAAAACACCATTTTAGCAGGCTTTCTGGCCAGAGCTACTGGTCCTACTTTGCAACCTGGGTACATATTCAGGAGCTATAGGTCACAGGCCCTATATCACACACACACACACACACACACACACACATACACACACTCACACACAGATACACACACACAGGGGAGAGGAGAGAGAGACAGAGACAGAGAGAGAGAGGGAGAGGGAGAGGGAGAGATGGAGAGAGACAGAGACAGAGACAGAGAGAGACAGAGAAACAGACTTTGGCTCAATGGTTCTCTGAGGATGGGAATGAGCCCCAGGCCATCTCCTCTCTGAACTCTGATGTGCGGGTCACTCGGCTGGGTCTTGGGTCCAGGTGATATGAAAAGGAAAACTGAATAGAGTCTGGCTCATAATTTTTTCTTGTGAGAACTGAATACTACACTACCCAAAGGCACCAGGACAAGGCTTGAGACAAGGGATGGTTGATACACAGGCATGCCACACATGTATGGTCAGTGCAATTACATAACCTGTCCTCTAGGGGCACTGTGCCGATCCTGCATGTACGTAGCATGAGAAGCCAAGTGTGATTTGGAATCTTGTCCTTTTTATCATCTGAGTTTAATCTCATTCTGAATGAATCCTGTATTCTTTTCATGCCTTTGAGGGCAACGCTCCTCTTTATTTTTTTTTTAATGATGCCATTAGCCTGGAATATGTATGTACGTACATTCATAAGATGTAAGAAGGCAGTAAGGTAGCATGCCTCCCCTCTAGCATTGTCTCCTGTCCCTGTGCTCTCCCCTGGAGCTTGTCATGACCGCAAACTCTTGAGTGTCTATGAAGGCATCTGCTGTGTTGGTATGCATGGCCCCAGGTGAGTCCTTTCCTAGGCACAGGTGCCAGGATGTGTGTAGAGTAGACTTAACAAATCCAGAGGGTATCACACTCTGAAATGTAATGTAACCAAGCCCTTTACTCCATTCAACATCTCTCAGGCCAGAGCCCCTTCCTTGCTCAACCCACATTGAGTTGAATGCTGGTCACTGAACGTTGAATGCAGAGGCAGATAGAGGTCAAAACCAGACAGACACCCTGTGAGGGAGACAGGGTGCCTGTTTGCCCCTGAATTTTAAAAGATAACGAGGTTATAGCTGTTTTATCAAAGGACCCAGAGTGCAAGGAGGAGGTAAGTTTCCAGCATCATTCCTGGGTGTTGCTGGGAAGAGGTAGGAGTGGATGCCAGCGAAGACCGTCATGGGTTTGGTTTCTGGGATGGGCAGTGCTCGATCACAGCCACAGAGGGTAGAGGTGCTTGGGACACTCACAGGGGCTTTTGCCCAGACAGAGTCAGAAAGAGAAGGCTCAGTACCCACCTATGCTGAGACACCAGCCCTCCCCCACACCTACAGCACACTGCCAGGGCCTGCACGTGCTGGCCTGGCCGTCTTCACTGCTTAGGGGAGGAATGTGGGGCAGGGTGGGGTGGAATGGGGGTGGCTTGGATACAGAGCTGAGCTACTATCCATTGAAGGGGACTGGCATGATCTGACGTGGACCCCACTCAGTCTTGTTCCCATGACAAGGGCTATCTTGTTTTATGTATCACACCTAGCAGGTAACATTCCATACCTGTAAGCTGTAATTAGCCTTCCCCTTGATCAGCTGCGTGATGAGCTCAGCTGTGTGCTGGAAGTGGATTTTTTCTGTAGAGGAAAACAGAAACGTTTGCTAAAACTCACATCACCACCCAGGGGGCCTTCGGCACCAGGGGTCCTGGGGGCGTGCACTCACCATCAGCTGTGGCATGGATGATCAGGAACTGCTGGTCCTCCAGGGCCGACACACGGTGTGCCAGCTTGGTCATCTGCACGTGTGGGGCAAGGGGATAGGGTTAGCTGTGGGGCATGGTCAGGGAGCAGGGTGTGTGTGTGTGTGTGTGTGTGTGTGTGTGTGTGTGTGTGTGTGTGTGTGTGTGTGTGTGTGAACATTGATGGAGAGGGTCAAGGGAAATGGAGGGACATGCCAGGCTCCTGGAGAGCTGGGCCGCCTGTGTCATGGGAAAACAGCAATTCCCTTAGAGAAGGGAAGAGGAGAAAGTGAAGGGAGTTCTCCAAGAATAGGACCTTAGAGGGTCATCATGTCACCCAGCGACACTGAACAGGCTTGTCCCTCTGTCTATGTCCTGACCACAGGACTCTGGCCTTCTGCCTGTGCATGGCTGATGATATGCTGTGTGTAACACTGAGACAACAGGATGACTGGGATGTAGTAACACAGTTACTACACTGTTCACCGTTCACCCTCCCAAAGGGGAACTGGCCTTGATGTGGGGAGCAGGGGCACCCAACAGCCAGCAGCATCCCGGGCTTTCTCGTCTCTCTCCCTCACCCATCAAAGCCAATCATGGAAAGAGATGAGCTTACAGAGGCCACGTTAATCTAGTTCAGTACATTGGGAGGAGGATTCCAAGGTTTGGATGGTAGAGAGGCCCAGGCCCTTGGGAGGGAGAGCGGGGAGGGGGAGGGGGGAGGAAGGGGAAGAGAAGATTGGCTAATTTCACCTGGTTCCCTGTCTTGCCAAACAGCAGCTATGCCCAACGTACCTCATACGCTCTGTTGTCGAGTCCATGGAGGCCAAGGTACCGCTCGGAAAATGCGGAGGCTGGACAGAGGCAAAGGGAAGGGGTCATCCCTGGTCCTTAAGGGCTCTGATGGGGCAGAGTGGGACCGTCTTCCTGCTACTTGCAGGCTAAGCTTTTTGTTGCTAGGCTTTTTGTTTTGAGACAAGGTCTCACTATGTAGTTTTAGCAGGTCTGGAAACCTGATGTATAAGCCAGGATGGCCTCATAGTCACAGAAATCCACCCGCCTCTGCCTCTCAAGTACTGGGATTAAATGGATGCACCACCATACTGCACTTAAATTTTTGGGATTTAAAGGCTGTCTCCTAAATCTCCTACGTCATGGCATGGGAGCCAAACAGTGTGTGGGGGGCGATGTTTAAATGTGTCATTCCTGGTGGATTTCTCTAAACCAGCTTAGATCCTGATTCTGCATATGACCTGATGTGTGCCAGGTGACGAAGAAGGAGGCAGTGCTCCCAGCTCATCGCCAGCCCATCGCCAGCTCTAGTCCTGCTCATAGGAAGCTTCACTCTGCACAGAGAAGGGCTGGTCAGGTGCCATCTGTGGGCCTGGACTGAGGCAGGCAGAAGGAGCAGGGTTATTTAGACCCCCATTGGATTCTGTCCCGGGAGTGGCGATGTCCTCACCATCACCAGTGTGGTCTGTGTGTAACCACCCACCCCTCCTCCTCCTCCCTCCCTCCCTCTGCACTTGCCCAACACACACATTGCTGCAGCAGAAGAAAGATGGCCTAGGCATTGCTACCGTCTCTTCCCCACTTGTAGGAACAGGCTTTTCTGAAGTCATTACCATGAGCTGGCCTTGGGGTTTGGAGAGTGATCATTGCCTATTGGTGGACTGAGCACCTTCACCCCAAACAATGACTAGAGACTTCCTCCTGCCCCAGGGGGTCCCTATACACTGGGGTGTTTGCTGTTGGGCACAGAGGTGCTGAAGGGAAAGGTGGGGTTATGCTGCAACTCCACCCTGGGTCTCATCAAGGCCATTACCATAGAGTTTGAAGTCTGTTATTGGCGACAGCGCTGAGCCGCAGGTGAACGTTTGACCTTGATTCTCTCCCTTGGCTGGGAGGATGTAAGTGCTCAGGTAACCACCATAATCCTAGGAGACATAAGGAAAAGAGGCAAGGGGTAGGGTCACTATCCACAACTCAGTAGGAAACTAGCCTAGGTTCATGAAGGCCAGCCCCTAATGTATGTGTCCATGTCGTTTTTCAAAGATTTGAACTTTAAATATCCTTGTTGGGCAATAGATGAGACACTAAACTGTTAGCTGGTTCCATGTCTCCCTCTCTTCAGGACCCAGTACCCAGAGACCTGGGGTAAGTGTGCTAATGACACAGAGATCCTCTATGTGATCCTAGAGATCACATGCTCTGCCTAGGATGGTGACAGAGGCAGGCTGGTGTCCAGCTGGTGTCCAGCATTCCAGCCTATCCTCCCTTCCACTTCCTCATCTGCAGCCAGTGCCTGTCTCTGTGCAGTCCCACAGAAGCTGAACCAGAGCCCAATGACAGGGTGGAGAACAGGCCTGCATGACACCCCAGCCCAGGGCTTCATGAAACCCTTATGTGTGTCCCACAGGCAGGGTGAGCCTTGAGCACCCATGTGGCCTGACTGCTGGGTGTGGGGAACTCCAGCATGGGTCTCCTAGCTGAAGCTGTACCCCAACACTGTCTGGTACCTTCCAAGTATTACACTCTGCCGAGAAAAGCCAAGGGGAACGGGACGGATGTGACACTCCCCTGAGCATGAATGGGCTGAGAGAATTAGGGAACAGAGGATGCTGCAGAAGGCTTATGTGAGTAAGTGGGTGCATGAGTGAGCATGCTAGAGAGAGAGGAGGGAGAGGCAAATATTTGTGAGCATCTATAATATATATGTGACCATATAAGCAAGGGAACACAAGAACATGTGAGCCTGTGTGCTGACATGTGTGGACATACAGCTGAAAATAGTTGTATGCATATGGGCATACAACTGGGCCTGCTGTGGCCAGAGAAAGTGACGTGGTCCCAGTGGGCCGTACTGTCTCATGCGAAGGAAGAAGGCAGGGCTAGCTCGCCTTCCAGATGGACATTGGTGTATGTCTGGGGAGAGGAAAGCTCAATGAAGACTCAGGTTCTGGTCCTTCATTTCTACACCGGGGTGCTGGGAAGTCAGGCATGTGAGGGTCAAGGGGTGTGGTGAGTACTGACACCCAATTAAGTTTATCAGTGATATAGCTGGCCCTGGGCTGCTCACAGGCAGGAGTGTCTAGAACAAGCCTCAGGACCTATCCCCAGGCTCTGTTCTGCCTCTGAGCCAAGTAAACAGTCTCCGGTAGCTTTCTCTGCAGGTGCTCAAGTAGATTAAAGTTCAGAAGAAATGATTTCTCAGGCCCATGTTTTGGACATGAGGCCCCAGCAAGTAACACGGTTCTGGGAGACCATGAGACCTTTTGGACATGAGCCTAGCTGGCAGGCATTGATTGGGCCATGAATACCCTCTTTAAATAAGAAGAGGTTTTGGGGTCCTAGCTCAGTTAAGACATAAGGTCACAGCCAACTCTACCTCTGGCCACAGTCTCTCTGCTTCCTCTGCTTCCTGACCCCTCCCCCAAGAGATGAAGTGCAAACTTCACTACCACGGTTGCCAGGCCTTCCCCATCATGGAGTTAGGAGCCTAATAAATCCTCTCTCCCTCCAGTTACTTTTTTGTCAGGTATTAGAGTCATGAACAGTAACAGGCTCTGTTCTGTCTGTTTCTGGGGTCTCCCAAATGACCCTGTCAGGCCCCCAGTATACACTGCTCACGAGTCTGTCCTGTATATTCTGGTGCTGACTGTGGGGTTCCTCTGAAGGGGCGGGGCTTCCACAGGAGGAAAGAGGTGCACAGCTGTGAGCTCGTGGCCTTCTGAGAATAAGGGGTCTCCAGTCTCGGTTGTATGAGGAGGGGAGGGTGGCCTACTATGCCATATAAGTGGCCCTTGGAGACCTAATTCCCATCCCCGGGCCTCCACTGAAGCCCATATGGGTCAGCCAAGGCTATGCCATGAGCTGCCAGGTGGAAACTGTTCTGGTTTAGCCACAGGGAACCCACAGCCTACCTTCCGTCTGAGCAAATGTGGGGATTAGTGTAGTTGTCCATGGGAAGGTGTCCACGCCCTGGTTCCTGTCCCCTCCTCTCCTGGAGTGCTCATCAGAGCTCACCAGGTCCACAAGGGAAGGAATGAGGACTCAGTGGAGTTCTCTGATAGGGCCTGACCTGCTTTCTCTCCCTCTAGGACATGTGACAAAGGCCACAGACAAGCCCTCCCCACAAAGCACACTCACTAACTCTTACTCCTTTCTCTCCCTCCCCCAAGGCCACCGGTGACCTCAGTGGCTCAGAAGGAAACTGATGGTGGTAGGACACAGTTCTGCACTCCAGACCCAGAAGCCCTGACAGAAGACAGCGTGACTCACCTTCCCAAACACAGCCACCCGTGTCTTGTCAATGTACTGTTCCTTCAGCATGGTCCTGCAGGCAGAGGGAAGAGCCGAGTGAGGGCTAGGTGGGTCTCCTCTATAGCCTGTTCTCCACAGCCATCAGCCATAGTATGCATGAAGAACCTCTTCGAACCAGAAAGGATCTCGGGATTTTAAATACAGTTGCTTATTGCTTTTATTTATTTGGTGCTCACTGTGTTTATGTTCTAAATGCAAAGCACCCTGATAAGGCTTCCGGGGGGGTGGGAACTTCTAGGTGCACAGCTGAACCTCGGAAGCAGCGGGGTGCACCAGAGGCCCTGCCCCTTTGGCCCCCTTTGCCCCTTGCGCTTCCACCACCCTCTCTTCTGTAGCAAGGTGCCGGTTTATGTGACGTCCTTACAGGGGACTTTGTACCCAGCAGAAGGGCTCCAGAGGTGTATGAGCAGGCCGAGGATATCCAGAGCTAGAGAGCTTCAGGAGTTTGCATGATGGACTGGCTTCAGTCTTCTCCATCCACACCAAGAATCTGCCACGCCTTCCAACCATTCCTGGGCTCCTGTTCTGTGAGCGCCTGTGGTTGAGGAGTGGCATCACTGATTTTTTTCCCCTAGAACGTGTTTGCTGTTGCTTTTGATTAGCTGTTGAACTCACTCCTTGTTTTCAGAGACTGGATGAAAACAGCCCTCAGCTCTTCGTCCCCAAGCTCTGAGGGAGTCGCTCCAGGGACCACATACTCACAGGGTGAGTCTGAAGGACTCCTGATCTTTCTCCTGGGTTCTCCGAAACAGGGAGGAGACACCGAGCCTCAGTGGGACGAGTTCAGCCAGATGGGATGAAGTAAGAAGAGGAGAACCCAGGAAAGGGGACTCGGCAAGAGGGCAAGAGGCAAGGACAGCTCTACGATGGCTCCCATGAGGCCCCTCCAACCCCAGCCTGTCCAGACGCTGCCTCACGTTCCCTGGGACGTCTGTCGTGTGGAGTGTGGGTTGCCGGCAGCCACCCACCCTCCTCCTCCTCCTCACAGGCAGGAGCCAAGGTTCATTTGTCCCCGTCCTTCCTCTGACAGGAATTATCCCACAGCCCGAATCAGGGCCACCTGGTCTCCTGGAAAGCCGGCTCACTGTCTGAGGACGCAGCTTGCTTGCTGATGATGCCCAGCCTTGCAACCGTTCCTCGGCTATTCCCTGCTGGTGTGTGCGGTTCTGGGTTCTAGATCATGCAGGGCAAGTCCAGGGAGAGGAAATGAAGGTTACTAGGCTGCTTTTGAGGCAAGGAGGTCTTTCTTCCTTTCTGGAAGTTTCTGGAAGTGTCTTCTGTCTTCCTGACCAGCCAGTGACATTGAAAGACTGTGGAAGCTGATGTTATCCTAGTCATGGCGGTCCTCAACTGAGAAAAGGCACTTGGAGTGAGGCTGTCCTGCTCAGCTGTAGAGATGGACAGAGCCTGCATCTTCTTGACACTGCTGGTCTCTGGAGCTCCAGCCCTGGGGTCTGCTGTCTCTGTGGACCTTCAGAGCCTACAAGGCTCCTTGCCTTAAAGGCAAATACAAGTGTGTGTGTGTGTGTGTGTGTGTGTGTGTGTGTGTGTGTGTGTGTGTGTGTGTGTGTGGTTGTTGTTGACTTCTGTCAAAAGCATCCTCATAGACATACAGACATGCCTTCCATGAGGGTTGGCCCCTTGAGATGTTCCCGTCTGTGCCTTTTTATTTTTGTGTGTGTGGAGGTTTTGTCTGTGCACCACATGCATGCAATACCCTCAGAGGCCAGAAGATGGCATCAGGTTCCCTGGAACTGGAGTTACTACAGTTCTGAGCTACTAGCTACCATGTGAGTGCTGGGGATTGAAACTGGGTCCTCTGGAAGAACAGCCAATGCTCTTAACCATTGAGCCATCACTCCAGCCCCATGTGATTTCTGTCTATAAGATTCACAGGGTTTGAAGACATCATCTTGTCTGTCGTTGGCCCGCTAATACTCTCTCGTGTGGCTTGAATTTGCACTCTCCTGACAAGCTCATGTTTTGAGCCTTGCACACTTGCTCCTTGGGTGGTGGGGCTGTGTGGGGAAACTGTGGAACATTTAGGAGGTGGGTACCAGACGGTGGAAGTGAAGCACCGGGGGCGGGCTTCTGAAGGTTCAGCCTTGGTTCTAGTCTAGCTGTGTTTCCTGAGCTACCACCATTTGAAGAACAGCCTCCCCACGCTCTCACTGCCAGGAACCCTGGTACGCCTCCCTTGTCATGACGGACTGACTTTTCTGAAACTGTGAGCCAAATAAAGCTTTCCACTCTTGAGTCATTTCCTTCGCCGTTTTGATCAGTGGCACAAAGGCCGCTAATACTCCCTGAAGAAAAAGGCCCTTTGCGTTCTTTTAAAAAACATATGCTTTGAAAAGTCAGCCAAGACGTCTCCCTGGAAGCTTTGGAGCTTTGTGTGTGGGATGTTGGCTGGCTGTAGTCTCCAGTACACACAGAAGCTCAGTCAGATCCACGCTGTCCCATCATATGCAAGCGTATGAACACACCCACTAGGATGGTCCATGTCACCTGGCTCTTCCTTGCCCTTCGAAGCCATCAGTTCTGCAGGGTGGTGGGGCTTTTCACTTCACTCTCAATGCCCAGCCACATTCACAGTCCTGGGCGCCACAAGCCCTCCACAGAGTGAGCCCGGAGGCCTGCTGCTAGATTCAGGCACAGTTTCCTCATGCGCCTTGAAAATGTCCAGGATAAGGTCAAGCATGGTTTTGAGCACCTGTCCCTTGGTACTAAGATCCTTCTCTCCTTGGTGGCACTTGGTGGGACTCATTGACTTGGTGGCAGCAAGGGTGAGCACTCCATATGGGTCACCGCTTAGAGTCCAGAGGGTGTTTCTGACCAGCCACTCATAGGCACAGGGCCCTCCTCTTTGTAGTGAGGTGACCCCTTGGCCTTGCGCCACCCCCAGTCATAGTCTCTCTCTGGTCGGACTTCCTTCCTTCCGTCCTGGAGATGACTGCACACCCAACCACAGAAGCCACAGCACAGAGAAGCCAGGCAGATTGCAGTGGTATAAAATGTTCACCATGGGCTCATGTGTCCCGAGCTGGCAGCATATTTTGGGAGGTTTTAGGAAGAAAAGCCTCACTGGAGGAAGTGGGTCACTGGGAGGTTGGCCTTCAAGTGTATAGCCCAGCCACACTTCCTGTCCTTTGTTACCTGACCCCATGGGATTCGAGGGGTCCCAGCCAAGGTTCCTGCTACCATGCACCCTGCAGCACCTTCTCGAACTGTGAGCTTAGATAAACCTCTCCTCCCAGAAGCTGTGACTTGGGAGGGACTTGGCCACAGAGATAGATAATAAAAGTGATCAATACACAGACCCAGCTCAGTCTTAGCCTCTGCCCTGTGCTTAGATCAGTTCAACACAGAAGCCACCAAGCTGTGTGGAAGTCAGTTTGGAAGCCTTCAGGAGAATCCTGCTGGCAGTCTCCCTGGAGACGTATATGCAATTGTCCACAGAGCTTTATAAGTGCAAACACAGGATGTGTGTGCAGGCAGCAGCAGCAGCAGTTGACAGAGAGCATCCTCTCCACCTTCCCTGCCCCACCCCCACCCAACCAGCCTGGCTGCTCACCTCACAGCTTCCATCTGGTCCTTCTCCTCCAGGAAGCCCAGCCGCCTCCGGACTTCATGCAGGAGCTTGGTTCCCTGGAAGCCGCTGCCTCGGCCATCACACTTGACCACCACTGCTCCATGGCTGCTCACCAACACTGTTTCCCAGGTCACCTCAAACCTCTCTGACACGCTCTGACTCCCTGGGGTACCGTCCCTAGAAGAGAGAAGTCTTTAGCATGCTATGTTGTGGCTGGCAAATACCACATCTGAGAAGGTCTCTCCTGGGCGGCTGTGTGTCTTTTCCTGGTCTTCTATGCCCACTCCATTGCCTTGGGTTCTGTTGTCTAGGATGGGCGAGCCAGGTATCATTCACATACCCCTCAGAGAATCCTAAGGCACCCCAGTCATCTCAAGGATGAGTGTGCACCAGTGTGTGTGTGTGTGTGTGTGTGTGTGTGTGTGTGTGTGAACTCTGGTGTTATTCCTCAGGCACCATGTGACTTGTGTTGTTGGGGTCTCTCCCTGGCCTGGAACTCAACTAAGTGGGCTAGGCTGGCCAAGTCAGGGAGGCCCAGGGACACTCCTGCTTGTTTCCCCAGTGATGGGATCACAGGGTATGTCACCATGCCTGGCTTTTTTAAAACATAATTTCTGGAGACGGAACTCAGGTCCTTGTATTGGCACGGTAAACACTTCAGTTACGCCCCCTGAACTCTTCTTCTGGTGAGCATTTCCAACATGATGGCGCTCTTCCTGTCTGCTGGGGGTTTGACTCACGTTGGTCTGCTCCCAGCCCCATGCCCATCACTTGAGTGCCCAGGATAGAGACTCCTCCAGCAGCTCTTTGGCTTAGAAACCTCCTTTATGGTTAGGTTGGGAGAAACAGCACATAGGCTGGCCCAGGGCTTTTCCCAGTTTGAAGGGTGAGGTAGCACTCTCTCCTGGAGGCAGGCACTTGAAGATCTCACTGTGAGGAGGGCAGGGCATTGCACTTGGCTCTTTCCTCCTCTATCAAGGACACCATGCTGTGGCTTCCAAAAGCATTCCCAGTGGAAATTTACATCATGGGAAATGGCCAGGGCTAGAGTCAGGGCTGGACTCAGTGAGAACAGATGTGGGGGAGGGGCTCTTGTGTCATTATTATGTAGTTAGTGTGGGGATGTGTTGTGAGAATTGTGCTGTACGGCTGTGCTGTGGTATAAACATCAAACTGAGCTATTTGAAGATGTCACTAGATGATATGATCTTCTAGGACCATGGGCCCATATACTTGTCAAGGATGGAAACGTTCTCATAATCTCAGTACAGTGTTAAAAAAGACACGCCACTGGTACCTGGGTAACCCCACTGCGCTTCTACCTCTGTGGGGCGGATTCAGGAGTTACAGAAAAAGCCCTTCCTTGGCTGACAAACTCCCTATCTTTTTTTTTTTTTTTAAAGATTTATTTATTTATTATGTATACAGCATGTGTGCCTGCAGGCCAGAAGAGGGCACCAGATCTCGTTACAGATGGTTGTGAGCCACCATGTGGTTGCTGGGAATTGAACTCAGGACCTCTGGAAGAGCAATCAGTGCTCTTAACCTCTGAGCCATCTCTCCAGCCCCCCAAACTCCCTATCTTAAAAATGAAACAAACAGCACCATTTACCCTACTTTTCCCCTTCCGGGTTCCCCCTCCCCCTCCCCTACACTGCTGAGTCCCAAGAAGGCATCTGGAGAAAGAGAGAGGCATTCATACTTACACCACCAGCAATAAGGGGTAGTGGGCTGTGTCAGTGAAGGTGGCCGGCTTCAGGATCTGCATTGGCAAGTCTGGGGAAAGGTGGAACACAGCCAGGTCAGGGCAGCTGGGGCAGGAGGGGTAGACCAGCGTGGACCCTGGTTCTGTGTGTGCCTTTCTGTGGATGCTCTGGGGGAGGGAAGGGAAATCCACAGCGGTAGTGGGTTCTTGGGCAGGCCACTGGCCTGGTAGGTATCTCTGATCTGAAGCTCAAATGTCACCTTTCACACAAGAAGTGTGTTAACTTCCCCAGGGCCCACAGGTACCTGCTGGTGGCAGAATTCCACACAGTGAGAGCACTTGAGGGCTGGGTTAGCCATGTACTGGGGATGGATAGGTTTATTTTTATTTTATGTGTATGGGTGTTTTGCACACACACACACACACACACACACACACACACACACACACACACACACACACACACACATGCCTGGTGCCTGCAGAGGCCAGAAAAGGGTGTTGGATCCCCTGGAGCTAGAGCTACAGACACTTGTGAGCTACCAGGTGGGTGCTGGGAATTGGGCCTGGGTTCTCTGCAAGAGCAACCAGTGCTTTTAACTGTTGAGGCAGCTCTCCAACCCAAAGGGATGGATATTTGTGAGCAGGTGGTTCTGGGAGAGGAAGAGGCTGAGGTGGAAGGGTATGCTGAGGTGAGAGCTGTGCTCAGTTGGGAGGTGAGGGGCACCTCTCTACCATGACAAGTGGCTTTGCAGGTTCATACCAGGCAGGCCTGACAAGCTGCTCTAGATCCTCAAGGACAGGGCCCTAGGGAAGAAGTTGGTATAACTGTGCTGTTCTTGTGGCCACCGAGGTCGCTGGGTTTGGTCATCTGTAGCATGAGATGGCGGGGGTGGGGTGGGGTGGGTGGGAGGTGGGGGCAGTAATAATGAAGCCTCAGGAAATGATCCCACACCAGTTTCTTTGTTCAGCCCACCTCCAGAACAAGCCTCACTGCCCCAGCAGGAATTTGTTTATTGAGGGTAACTACCGCCCGATTACCAAGGCCCAGCAATTAAATGGGAATTAGTGGCTTTCTAGTGCAGTGACTGCAGAGCACCCCAGCCCTGGCAGCCTGCTCTGCGGCAGCCTTTCATTACTGACTCAGCCTGACTGTTAATGGCTTGCAAATTGGATCGTGGCTCAGGGGCTGGCAGAGAGGCAGGCATCGCAGGGTATCACAGAGATATCCACAAAACATGGTGTGGTTACCCTGGGGTGGACCTTTGGAAGTAGCTGATGCAGGTGTCTTAGCGATGGCTCTACTAGATGTCTGCAAGGCATATGGCTCCACCGGCCCCTCCGTGAGTCTTGTCTGCTTGCCCTAAGCCTGGCCACCCTCTCTTCTCCAGCCAAAGCTCTGCCAGTGACTGTGGATCAGCCAGAATCCTCCCAGGAATTGAGACCTGGCCATGACTGCAGAGATGCTGGCAAGAGGGATCTGAATGAAGGATTCGGGGCACCTTTGAGCTTTGGGGTGTCTAAGCTGTTACTAACTAAACAGTACTTTGCCCAGCTGCAAAAGAACCTAGAAAGGAGAGGAAAGGAGATGAGGCTCGTGGACACTGGGCACTGGGGGCTTTCTAGGGTTAAGGACAATGGGCAGCTATGATTTCAGGGCCAGCCAGGTTGAGCTGGGAGCCACACAGGTTGAGAGATGAGGTTTTGATAACCGCCCCACTGCCACTAGCTGATTGCGGCAAACAGGGTGGTTCTCACAGCCTACCATCAAGGCAGCACTCAAGAAACAAGCTAGTGGCTGGAGTGTGACAGAAAGGAGGCAGGAGAGCAGTGTCAAGAATGCCTCAGGTGGTGACAATGACACCCTCGGGATGCATTTCTCCAGTATCAAGGATGCCTCTCACCAACGCACAGCCAGCATCTGGAGGCAGGACACTAAGCAAGGAAGATGGCACAGTACAGAGGACAGACGGACAGACAGTGTTCTCCCAGATGTGACCAAAGGAGAGGTTCTGTCCTGATCTCTTGAGAGAAATCACGAGCTCTGCCTCTGTTTTTTTGCTGCCACCGGATCATCTTGAGGGTTCTCATAGTGAGCTGGGGATAGAATGGTGGCCAAGCAGGGAAGACACCTGGGTGGGGCTGGAGCCTCCAAGGCATTCTGTCGACCCTTCAAAGGGCAGAAAAGTGGCACTTACTGTAATCTTCTACCTCGATTTTCCGGTACTCAATCTTAGGCATCTGCCGATCGTTGATGGCCTTCTGCACATGCTCATTTGCTTCCAAGTCAAAAATTTCTGGAACGGTCAAAACAAAGAAACACATTGGATTCTGGGACCTATGTGGGCTGGAGGTTCTCACATGCCGCTCATACGGCTTCACAGGAACATCCCTGTAGGTCGCTTGCCTATATAGGGAGAGAAGACGAGCTACTGGAGAGCTCATTCAAGACCCACGGTCCTAGCCTCAACTCAGGAACACGGGCAGATCAGAGATCTCTGCACTCGGTCCTCCCACCCCCTTCTCCACACACTTCTGTTCTCCCTGACATTTGTCATTGGTATGACCTATTCTAAGTCTGTTGGGTTCAGCAAAAGCAATACTAGTTATCTGTGGGGAAAAATGGCCGCCATAACCAGGCGATGACAGCAGAGAAGTCACTGAACTGTTACCTTTATCAGCCATCCTAACCCCAGATTTCTTATCTTAACCTGTAAGTTATCTGGTCTTTTGAGACTTGGAGTTGGTGACCATAGTCACAGATAGCAAAGTCCTATGAACAGGGTTTCACAACTTGAGGACCTGGCCTCCTTCATGCAGGCTAAGTCTGCTTCGGTTGACTCTGTACTGTGGCTTAATCTGCATGGCTCTTCATTCTCAGGTTGCAACACACAAATACCCTGTCAGAAGTTTCTTCAGCTGGAAAGGAGGAAGGCCATTTTGCTCACCTGCTGAAATGGCCATGCCACCTTATTTTGCCATCTCATATATAATAAACCCACAAGACTTCCTTTTCTATTCTTCTCTAAGGTTACATGTAGGGTTAGCTATGGCTCAATGTAAATGTCTTCAAGGGACTCTGAAGCTCTTCCAGTTCCCCAGAAGGCTGGGATTGGGAAATGTTTTGAAAGCCATGGTTCTATGAAGAATGTTGGGGTCTCTCATGACCCCTTTACACCAACACTGCCCTACAGGCATGTGTCTTAAAGGCATCAGAGGTTAACTCATGGATGCTGTGATCAGTGGTTTTATTTTTGAGTAACACACAGCATTGTGTGACTCCAGGTTCGTCACCATCCACAGAAGCAGGGACTGTGACCTCCCAGAGGGGTGGGGCATAGGAGATTTCCTGTGCCTGCAATGCACTGATAAGCTGCCGAAAATGATTGGCAAGTCACCAGCCACATGTGGCCATTCAGCTCCAACTTTCACCTTAGACAGTGGCCACCCCTGGGTTGCTGCCTGAGGCTTTCTCCCTGTTCCCTGTGTGGCCTTTTGCTACCCCTCCAAGATGGTCTCAAATAAATAGTACTGAGAGATCCTCCAGGGGTCTCAGGAAGCCTAAGGCTCAGTGAGGTCCCAGAGTTCAGGCTGCCTGAGGAAACAGGGCTGACTGCTAACCATTCCCTGCTCCATGTGTGATGCCAACACCACCATGAAAAGCAAGCATTCAGTAAACTGACTGTAGAGTCTTGGGTGCTTGAAAGACTAATTACATATGGAAGTTAATATTCAATGAATGCCATGATTCTGACCCCATTCACTGGTAGTCCCAGACCCAAGCTTAGTGTAAGAATCAGAGCAGACTGTAAGATGCTATCTCAAAGCTTTAGCACATGGAGGTCCCTTATAACCCCTGTCTGGCTGGTTTTATGGCAACTTGAAAGAAGCTAGAGTCATGTGGGAATAGGAAACCTCAGTTGAGAATCCCTGTAGTTGAGAGTTGGTCTGTAGACAAGGCAGCAGTGCATTTTCTTGATTGATCATTGATGTGGGAGGGTCCAGCTCATTATGGGTGGTGCCACCCCTGGACTGGTAGTCCTGGGTTCTATAGAGGATAGGCTGAGCGCTCCATGAGGAGCAAGCCAGTATGCAGCACTTCTCCATGGCCTCTGCTTCAGTTCCTGCCCTGAGTTCGCTGGGTGAGCTATATGATGAGATAAACCCTTTCCTCTCCAAGTTGCTTTTGGTCGTGGTGTTTCATCACAGCTCTAGCTAAGACAACCTAGGAAGAAGCTTCCATTGTTACCACTCTGCTTGAATGAGGGACTGACCTAGGTGTGGCATGGGAAAGGGACGTGTGAACAGGGGTTGGCTGCAAACACGGGAGCTCATGGATATTGGTACAATCAGCAAAGGCCCAGCAAAGATGGGTACGTTGATCTCACTCAGCTTCTGCCACCAGGGCCCTGTGGGAACTTCATCTGTGGAAGCAGGTAAGTGCCAGGACCTATTCAGAGCCTCTCCCAATTGGTCCAACTCTCCTTATGTATAATTTGTATGAACCGGCTCTAATGTAACTCTACAATCTTACATGCCGTTCTGGATGGAGAACTTCAAACTCAGATCACAAGTGTGTGCAGCTGCCTACCCAGCTCAGCTTTCCCAGAGTGAATGCAGACACAGCCAAATACCCATCACCCACACCGGGCCCTGGCAGTTCTGGCCTTGTGTGGGGCGTAGCAAGTTCTAATCGCTCACGGACTATTCAGGCTGCCTTTGAATAGCTCCCTCCTCTCTATTGAAATCCTACCTTCTGCAGAAGAGCACCAAAGCAACAGACTATTAAATTTAGTTAAATATTAGATTTCTCATTTAATGATTGCCCACACAGCCGGGTTTATCAGCAGAGAACTGGCGGTCTCACGGGGGAGTTGAGTTAAGCTAGTTTATTTGTTTCCCTAATTGCATTCAAAGAGGGCAGGAGCTCAGAGGAGAAATAAGAAAAGATCGGTGCATTCCCGGAGGACTCTGCCTTTGACTTCGGGGCAGCAGGGACCTCCAGGCTGCAGCACACACATGGCCACTCCTTAATTAAATGTGAGCCCCTCTAATATTTGGTGGAATTAGCTATTATCAGATCTGGACACAGTGAGCCCACAGAGACAAACGTCTGCTCAGGAAGCCACTCCCCGGGCCGTGTGGCCTGCGGGCTGTTCCCACATGGCCCTGGGGCTTGGAGCAATCACCACTGTGCCTAGTCATTGGAAAACTGGTGACCAGATTGTGATGGAAACCACAAGCCACTGATTTAGAGGGGAGAGGGGCTGCCTGGCCCTTGGCTTGGGGCTTCTTTCCTGTAGGCTACGACTCTCCAGGCTGTGTGTAGGCGGATGATGTACACCCTGCTTCTCTAGCAGCTCTGAGCAGTGTGGGCTGCTGATGTTCAGGCGGTCCCATCCCCCGACCCCCGGTCCTCACTGGCTTTTTTCATTGCTTCCCCAAGCGTCATTCTTCTCTGTGCTTGCTTTTCGTGGCAGAGGCCATCCATCAACCCTGGGCTATATCCCTTAGCTAACTCAAAGAGCAGATCCAGAGGTATAAGGACTTTCCAACTTGCTCACCTCAATTGGACCTCTTTTTACTCCTAGCCCTCTATGTCTCCTTGCTACAGTCAGCTCGACAGCTTGTGACACAGAGTGATTGTTCTTTGGCCCAAGTCTCTCCTTGATTCCCTGGATATGTGCTGAGCATCTTGAAGGCAGGATTCAGATAACTGGTCTTATCTCTAGTCTTCCCAGCGTTGTGCTGCATATCATGATGAGGGCTGCTGTGTATGTCCAACATCCAGGGGCACTATGTTCATGGAGGGTGGTGCTGTGGTTGGCACACTGGTCAGCTGCTCGTGCTTCAGAGGCCCCTGAGAGGTGCTTGCAGGAAGTGAGGTCTCTGGGTCTCCCATAGTTCTCCCTGTAGACACCTGAGGGTGTGGACACCATGCATCTGGCTTATGTTCCACTTGGTGTTTGCTATGTGCCAGCTTGTCTATCCAAGATTCTATAATGAGACCTCAAAGCTGGCCATTGACCCTTCCCAGAAGGTTGCTGGGAGTACCTCTGGGGTCCAGAAGACTTTTCACGATCAACAGAAAGTTTTATGGAGTTGACTCCTAGGTCTCTGCCTCATGTGTTTGTTCCCATGTCTTTTCCATTAAGGCCTCACACACAAGTGAAACAGACCTTTGAGTTTTATCTGTTCCTGGGGTACCAGCAGGTGGACTCCACATTGAGGACTTGGGACCACTAGGTCTGGGTTGACCTAGACAAAGCCTGGTGACGGGCAAGGACTCTCTGGCAGCACAGAAGGTTTGTGGCCCTTTGACACAGCAAAACTGACTGCCCAGGGATATGATTAGGCTCGAAATAAATACACCTCTAATTGTTATCCTTGGAGGCAGGTAGGTTGTCATTTTTTGGTACACAACATGGAAGAATTTTAAAAGGTAGAGGGAACTGGAGAGATGGCTCAGAGGTTAAGAGCACTGGCTGCTCTCCCAGAGGACTCAACTAGATTCTCAGCACCAAGTGACTCACAAGTGTAACTCCAATTTCAGAGGATCTAATGCTCTATTCTGGCCTCTGAAGGCAGACGACATCCAAGTGAGGCACAGATATATATGCAGGAAAAACAGCCACACAGAGAAAACAAAATTAAAACAAGTAGTGGTGTTACTAGAACTCTTCTCCTCCACCTACTCCAGTGCTTTTGGAACACTTTAGAAGCAGGAGAATGCACACACTGTTTCTTTTTTTTTTCTTTTCTTTTCTTTTCTTTCCTTTTCTTTTCTTTCTTCTTCTCTTCCTTCTCTTCTTCCTCCTCCTCCTTCTTCTTCTTGAGACAGAGTTTCTCTGTGTAGTTTTGGTACCCATCCCGAATCTCGCTCTGTAGATCAGGCTGGCCTCAAACTCACTGAGATCCACCTGGCTCTGCCTCCAGAGTGCTGGGATTAAAGGCGTGCACCACCACCTCCCGGCCTGCACACACTGTTTCTTACAGAGGTATTCTGGGATTAGGAGGAAGTGCCCATTCACACACCACAGCTGTATCACTAGAGGATATCACCCCTGTTATACCTCATGGCGTGTGATTATAACTAATGGTGTGTAATGTGTCCTAGCTGCTTTGTATGAACACGTGACAGTTCATTATGGCTTTATGAACACAGCAACTGTAAAACCATTTAAATGATTTCATGCCTGTACGACGTTGGCACAGAATTCTAGGGGAGGCAGGGGAATGTCAGCATCAGTTTAAAGAGTGAAAAGAAGGATGCAAAATGCTGACTGTTAAAGAAGAA